AGAGCAGAAATCAGCAACTACAGACCAGTGTCACTCCTGTCAATCACTGGTAAGATCCTTGAGACAATAATCTCAAGACAAATGACAGAGTTTTTTGACTACCACTCACTACTTTGTGATCGTCAATATGGCTTCAGGAAAGGTTACTCTGCTGCTGATCTGTTGTTAAACTTCTCCACTAAGTGGCACCAGTCACTGGATGAATCCAAAGTCAGCTGTGCGGTAGCACTGGACATTGCTGGCGCTTTCGACCGGGTGTGGCACCAGGGCCTCTCAGCAAAACTTCAAGCACTGGGAATTGCAGGCTCTACGCTATGTCTCCCCCTAGTGATTACCTTCATGGTAGATCTCTAAGTGTAGTTCTCAATGGAACGGAATCAGCAAGACATCCTATTGGGGAAAGTGTTCCACAAGGAAGCGTACTGGGACCATTGTTATGGAATGTCTACTTCAACGACCTTCATCTCATCCCAGAATCACATGCATATGCAGACGACTGTACACTGACATTCACTTATCCAAGAGAAGAAATGCCAGCTGCTCTAAGCTACATCAATCACCAGCTGAGAGCTATATCAGCTTGGGGAAATAGATGGCAAGTAACATTTGCACTGAGAAAACGCAAATGATGATCGTCTCTAGGCACCATGATGGTAATGCTGGTGCAGTAGTAAGGATGAATGGGAGGGTGTTGGCACCTGGAGAAGAAGTTGATATCCTTGAGGTGATATTTGACTCCAAACTAATCATGAAGAACCATGTTGTAAATCTTGCAAACAAGGCAGCCATGAAGCTTACAGCACTTCGCCGTATCTCGCATCTGCTTGACAGTAGGGGTTGCAAGATTCTGTACGAGGCACAAGTACGCTCACACCTTGAGTATGCTCCACTTTCTTGGTTTGCCTGCCCCCCCCCCTCTCATCTGCGACTGCTTGACAGAGTAGAGAACAGAGCAAGACGTCTCATCTCTCGCCTGGACCCATCCTGGATAGATCTGTCATTTCAGCAGAGCCTTCAACATAGGAGGGATGTGGGTGGCCTTACTGTTATGTACAAGGCCAATATTGTCAAAGTACCACACTTGGATCCACTTCGAGGACAGCGTGAAACAAGCTTTTATGCCACAAGACGGGCAGAAAGCAGCAACTTCACTCTGGCTGTACCCTTCTCCAGAACATCACTCCATCTGAGATCATACATACCCAGGATGACTCGAGTATGGAACACATTCGTACAGCATAATGATGTCAACGAGATAAAGTCAGTTGATCAAATGAAAATGCTGGCCCACAGATGGCTCCAACTTCATCCTGTTCCCTACTTGTATGTCTCATAACAATAAAAATGCTTTCAAATGAGCTGATGTAGGTAACAGCTCTTAGCTTGCCAATAAAGTTAGGAATCCTTAACCTGTAAATAGCTGTCAATAAAGCTAGGGATCCTTAACCTTGTCAAACCCTGTGTAAAAAAAAAAGGAAAAGAGAGATAGAAGAGGAAAAGGGAAGAAGAGAATAAGGATGGAAAAAGAATGAGCCTGGGGAGGAATTAGAACAAAAGAAAGATAAGCAAAGATAAAAAGAAAACAAAGATAAAAACAAGAGGAAAACGAGGCAGTGAAAGAAGAGGGATAAGAAAGAGTAGATGGGGGAGGAAAGTCAGAAGAGAAGATGGGAATAAGAAAACGATCGGAGAACCAGTCTTAAACGAAAACAAATAAAATAAAAACATTAAAAACAAGAACTATAAAAGAAGAAATATATATATATAATGAGGGGAAGCAGTGATATACGAGGGGAAGCAGTGATATACGAGGGAAAGCAGTGATATACGAGGGGAAGCAGTGTTAGAAATATGAGGGGAAACAGTGACAGATATATGAGGGGAAACAGTGACAGATATATGAGGGGAAGCAACAAGATATAAGGGACAATAACAACACATATGAGGGGAGTGACAATGTAGAAACTAACAGGGAAGGAAGGGGAAACCAACAGACCCAAGTTAACAGGGTTTCTTTGATTTGTGAGAGAGAGGGAGAGCGAGAGAGAGGGAGAGCGAGAGAGAGAGAGGAAGGTGAGGACAAGACACCGTGATATAACTGGTTGATAATCAACAAACAAGCCACGTAATAGGTGATGAAAATACACACAAAGACACGTGATTGGCCAAGAAAATCCACATTAAGCCACGTGATTGGCCAAGATATTACACACAAGGCCACGTGATTGGTCAAGAAATGCGTAAGATATTATTGGTCAAGAAAATGCACATCAAGCCACCTGATTGGCCAAGAAAATAAACTTGGGTAACTGTTGAAAGTGAAAAAGGAAGGTAACAACAGATCCATCTTACCTTGAGATGGTTGGTGGGAGGCTGGTGGTGGTGGTGGCTGGTGGTGGGTGGTGGAGGTGGTGATGGTGGTGCCGGCGGTGGTGGTGGTGGTAGTGGTGGTGCTGGTGGTGGTGGTGATGGTGGGACCGCTGCCAATCAGACGCTCTGTTGCTACTGGAACCATCAGAACCGACGCCTTCGCCAGGAACACACAGGAAACACGGTTAGTTTACTGATGGTGAGCGGCTAGGTAATGCAGGTGTGGCTAGGTGTTGGTGTGGCTAGGTAGTGTAGGTATGGCTAGGTACTGTAGGTGTGGTTAGGTACTGTAGGTGTGGTTGGTACTGTAGGTATGGCTAGGTACTGTAGGTATGGCTAGGTACTGTAGGTGTGGCTAGGTACTGTAAGTATGCTAGGTACTGTAGGTGTGGCTAGGTATTGTAGGTATGGCTAGGTATTGTAGGTGTGGCTAGGTAGGGTAGGTGCGGCTAGTTATTGTAGGTGTGGCTAGGTAGGGTAGGTGTAGGTGCGGCTAGGTAGTGTAGGTACGGCTAGGTAGTGTAGGTGTGGGTGTGGCTAAGTAGTGTGGGTGTGGCTAGGTAGTGGTGTGGCTAGGTAGTGTAGGTGTAGCTAGGTATTGTAGGTGTGGCTAGGTAGTGTAGGTGTAGCTAGGTATTGTAGGTGTGGGTGTGGCTAGGTAGTGTGGGTGTGGCTAGGTAGTGTAGGTATGGGTGTGGCTAAGTATCGTAGGTGTGGCTAGGTAGTGTGGGTGTGGCTAGGTTGGTCTGGGTGTGGCTAGGTAGTTGTAGGTATGGGTGTGGCTAGGTAGTGTAGATGTGGGTGTGGCTAGGTAGTGTAGGTGTGGGTGTTGCTAGGTGTGGGTGTGGATAGGTAGTGTAGGTGTGGCTAGGTACTGTAGGTGCGGCTAGGTATTGTGTGAGTGTGGCTAGGTAGTGTAGGTGTGGGTGTTGCTAGGTGGTGTGGGTGTGGCTAGGTAGTGTAGGTGTGGCTAGGTAGTGTAGGTGTGGCTAGGTACTGTAGATGCGGCTAGGTATTGTAGGTGTGAGTGTGGCTTGGTAGTATAGGTGTGGGTGTGGCTAGTTAGTGTATGTGTGGGTGTGGCTAGGTAATGTAGGTGTGGATAGGTAGTGTAGATGTGTGGATAGGTTGCGTATACGGGTGGATTGGTGTACGGATAGGAAGTCAAGCTTTTAGCGAAAATTTGGGCAAAATCAGGTGTGGATAGGAAGTGTGGGGGAGAAGATAGGTTGTCTATGGAAAGTGTAGAAGGGACAGGCATGAGGTGGGGCAGTGTAAACGGCATAGGAGTGAGATGGGGCATTGTAACAAGGGATAGGCGTGAGATGGGGCATTGTAACAAGGGATAGGCGTGAGATGGGGCATTGTAACAAGGGATAAGCGTGAGATGGGGCATTACAAGGGATAGGCGTGAGATGGGGCATTGTAACAAGGGATAGGCGTGAGATGGGGCATTGTAACAAGGGATAGGCGTGAGATGGGACATTGTAACAAGGGACAGGCGTGAGATGGGGCAGTGTTATATGTGTAACGAATGAAGTAGGGTAGGGAATAAATATGTTAGGATAAAAACAGATTGAGAAAAGTGAGAAATTAGAGAATAAAGGTGGAATAAGGGGAAATCTGAAGTGATAAATGGGGAACAGATAAAGGATGGGTCAAATGACACGTGTGCTTTGAGGATAGGTCAGGGAAGGCTAAAAGATGGGTTAAGCAAGGGACAGGCTGAAGGGATAGAGTTAATATGATGGGATAGACAACAGGTTGGAAAAGCAAACAAGCGGAAAACAGACAGAGAATAGAGACATTTGATAAAAGAGACAAGGAGAGAGGTAATAAAGAGAGAGGATAGTGACAGTCAATATAGGAATAGGATGGATAGATAAATTAATATATATAGGGACAGATTGGGATGGATAATTAATATACAGGAACAAACTGGGAAGAAGGACAATCAGTATAAACTGAACTGATTACTAAAATCAATATGATAGACAGACGAGTAGACAGGACTAGGTAGACAAGGGGAAAGACAAGGTAGACGGGAATAGACGAGACAGCGGGACAGACTAGGCAGACGGGGGATAGGCGAGGTAGATGGGAACAGACGAGGTAGGAGAGGGATAGACGCGGTAGACAGGATAGACAAGGTAGACAGAACAGATGAGGTAGACACAAGGGGATAGACGAGGTAGACATAAGGGGATAGACGGGTAGACAGTACGAGTGTACGAGGGATGTCATAATACCAGAATTATGCTAATCATTAAAATACACACCACCCTATCTTATATAAGTATACACACACATTTAAAACAAAAGAGGGGGAGGGTCTACTGCGTGTTTTTGACTTCCAGAAATTAGGGGGGGGGGAGACGAGGTGTATGTGACCCCAGGAAGGAAAGGGCAGCTCCACATCCATGGACCAAGAGCTGTGTACCAGCATCAAGGCAGCCACCATCAAGGGAGATTAAATTGCTTGTGTTTAGGGACGAGCTGAATGAGCGTGTGGATTAGGGTAATTATTTAGTTGCATTATTTACGAGTGATTAATGTGGTGCTTATCTGACTGGCTAAATATGGTGCTTATCTGATTGGCTAACAGGGTGATTATCTGACTGAGTAATATGGTGCTGATCTGACTGGCTAATACGGTGCTAGTCTCCCTGTCAGCCAATCACAGGCGAACATTTTCCTTGTACAGTTTTCCAGGTGCCACATCGCATTTCTGGATCGATCATTTTTCCTTTAATTTCAAACAGTAAAGAGAGGCAGAGTCAATTATTTTGTTCACACACATGAACAGTATTTATAGGGTGATGGGAAGGGGGGAGGAAACGCCGTATATATAAACCACTCACATACCACAAAATAATGGAACCGGTATGATGAATCCTTTTTTATTATTTAGCTAAAATATGGAACACTACCAAAAAATATAATTTTTTTAATGTTAAAAATCGGGTAAATGAAACGTGAGTGGGGAAGGGTGGGGTGAGGGGAGGGGAGGGGTTGGGAAGGGTGGGATGAGGGGAGGGGAGGGGAGGGGAGGGGAGTGGCAGAGTAAACAGAAAATAATGTGGAATCGAGGTCCCTTCAAGAGACTTCTACTGAAAGAAAATGGTTAATTCAAATTCTGTTGAGACGATTTTAATTAAAAATAAAATAATAATGCATATACATATAAAGGATCCTGAAAGAATAACTGAAACCTACAACATAATTTTACCAAATTAGATATTAATCAACATAGTTCCATTGGTTTATCATTATTACAGGTATTATACGCGCCTCTAACTCATTCGATGACGCCAAAAATGCAGCTACTTTCTACAGCAAAAACACTCACAAAAAAATGCAACACTTATGTACAGGGATACAGTGATAGGATTACAGGTTTCTATATGCAGGTCTCTACGGTATTAGGAAAGGACGAGGGGAAAGAGGTAACCAAAATACAGAAAGAAAAGCTTGGTTAATAACCTGTCTTACTAATATTAATGCTTGTCCAGACTGGAGATGAGAGAATATGTTCACAATTGATAAACTCTCGTTAGCTATTAGATCAGACACAATGATGCGTTACTACGCTATAAAAGTGATGATTCTCTCATTCCCAAATACAGAGAAATCTGAACTAGGCTCTACACAAAATTTATGGGTGTGAGTGATCTCTACGGAACGACAACTAGTGCATCGTGTACGATCACCAAGGCGTCCGGATGTAAACAAAGTAGTCAGTGCTAGTTAGGGGAACCACTGCTGAAGTCATCAAAAAAGTTCTTTCTCTCTCTCTCTCACACACACACACACACACACACACTGTACGTGTTACTTCGTGCTCTAGAAAGTCTCTCTAGGTCGTATAAAGCCTATATTTAAACGAGCCTTAACAACTATATCTGAATATCTCCTACGTAATTCTAAGCATATTTCAACAACGAAGCTTATTTTTTAACAAAAAAAATTATACACATTATCATTATAACGAAAGCAATGAGAGTGTGAAGACGGGGGATGGGGAGGATAGTCTGACCACTCACGAACCACGCTAGTTATTAACCAGGTGACTGACCCTAGTAAAGGAATAAACGAGAGAGGAATTAATGCCTCAAGCGGATGCCTCCTCTGACTAACATGTCGCCTTCCTTCAAAGACGTTACGCTGACGCTGCTGAAGGGCTCTCGGTCCAATGAACTGAAGCTACCGTCCTTGATTAACCCCTTTCCCCCATTCCCAAGACGCTCTAACACACCCTGCGGGTTTAGCACTTATTCCATGATTATATTTCGTCTAGGCTACTCATGAAAATATCGTTGATAAAAGTAGCATTATCAAAGTTACATTTTTGATGGACGAAAAGATGCCCATTTTAAAATAAAAACATATTTTTTTTGCAATTTATACATAATATACACAAATTATAGTCATACAATATACAAATTTTGCTCTTTGTACATTGTAAATAAACAATTTTTTCCCATTTATACATTCAATATACAAACTTTGATATTATACATTGTAATACACAAAATTCAAACATGGAAATTAATAATCTAATATAAAATTGTGGCCCCAAATAAAATATTACTGGGAAAATCAAAAGCAGTAACGACAAAAATTTAAAAATTCAAAAAGTGAATTCTAGGTAGACTTCTTAGGTGAATTCTAGGTAGGATTCTAAGGTGAACTAGCAGGAGACCAGGTCGTCATCCATGAGGCTTGGTCTAGGACCGAGCAGCGGGGGCGCTGACCATCAATAGGTCTGCCAACACCACAGCCCAGGTTATCAGCTGAGGGCACATACAAATTTTCATTATACACACTGGGAAGAGCTAAGACCGTAGGGGTTCATAGCACCTGGAGAGAGGTAATCAGTTTAGAAAAACAAGTGAGCATACACCAGACGTTTCGGTCCTGGGACCTTGACCACTTCTAACACACAATTACAACCATAAGTTTTAAAAGGGTGAAGGGGTAAGCCAGCGGAAAACCTCAGTCACATGACCAAAAGCTCCAGCTGCGGGTCATCATATGACTAAGACACGCGTCAGGAAACACTTGTCTTGTTTCCTGACTAACCTTCCCTAACCCAACCTTCTAACACACAAGCGATCAAGGTCCCAGGACTGAAATGTTCTCTATTAAACACGTCCT